CGCGGCGGTGGGTGACGGCCCTCCCGCCTCCGCCTGTCCGCCCCGCGCCGTGCCGGCCCGGGCTCGCTTCTCCCCGGGGAGAGTCGTGTTTCACGGGGCGCTTTCTGCCGCTGTAGGGCGGGCGGCGGCCCGGCGTGGTGGAGCGAAGCTGCAGGTTCGCGGTAGCTGGACAGCGAAACCTGCCCCGCCTGGAAGTTGTCCCTTTAATGCGGGAGCGAGGGGCTGTGGGTGAGCCTGGCTCTTAAAGTCTTTTAGAAATAACAAAACTGTTCGCGGAAGGATGAGGGAAAAGAGTCAATAGGAAGCAGTTCTGGACATTACTGTCCTATGTTCTAAAAGTAGAAACTGCAGGCCTTAACAACAGATTTTTTTCTTTTGAGGGCCTCTGTGGGTGTTGCATACACAGCAATTATCAGCTGCTTTTTAAAACAAATTGTATTATGTAGACTTGCAGCAGGTAATTAAATATATCTTATGATACATGTATGTCTGCTTTGCCAAGTTCTGTAAGCTTTTACAGTACTTCCCCTGTGTATGCTGGGAATCCAATGCCTGGTGAAACTCTAAAGTGCTATCGTTTTGGGATTCATAATTCCACGGAGGCTGCAGATGGGTGATCTGAGTCTTCAGTAGGCTTGCCTTCAGCTGGTTTGTAAAGTAACTCCGTTGGCTGAATTTCTAGAATGGCCTCTTTGCATTAGCTTAATTTTTAGTGACCCACAAGATTAGGAGTAGGCCAACGTGTTCTAGCATGTGCATATTCTGTGATTAAGAACCATGGCATAAGTATGTTTCTTTTTCTGAGCTAAGTATTTCCAAAGAGGGGGCAGCATTTTGTGGAAGGCTCGCTGATGTTAGTACCAGCAAAAGCAGGGACAGTTGTGGAATACTTCTGTTTAGTTATCTCTTCCACCAGCATCCCCTGCACCACTTTGCCCGAAAGACAAAGCAGATAGGGGGGTTTATACTAAAAACTCTCACTGGGGCTTCATGACCTGAACTCATCATTAAAGTAACAGTTCTTTACCATGTGTTCCTATGTTTATGATCAAGTTGTAGTAGATTTGATCCTGGTTGGCATGGCCCTGTGCTGTGTGGTGCTCGGATTGGGGAAAACCATTTATTGAGATGAAGTTTGTTTCGGTAAGTGATTGGAACACTTACTGGAATTACTGTGTCCTAGACTAAGCAGTTCTAAAGGTAAAGATAAGTTATTCACAGACCACTTCAGAAAACCAAGTTTTGTATTTTCTGTGGAAGTAGAGTGATTGTAACTTTCGGCATCTCTAAGCTTCACCAAGGTCAATGGGATGATTACTGCTTTGGCATCTAAATCCACATTTAGCAGTGTACAGCTGTCAAGTTCAAATATTTGGTTGTGTTTCAGAATTGTGTTTGGATTTACCTCTAAAATATTGTGGGGATTAAAGCTAGTACATGTATTAAACACCAAGCTACCTATCCCTTTAACTAGTTTTGCATTGACATAATCTAATAGTTAAGCTTAGAATAAATATGTTATTAGGAATTTTTTGTAAATAAAAATTGGTAGAAAGTAAGGACTTCTGCCCCCAAAGTGGTTTTGGATCTTTCAGGTTTTTTGTCTACATTCAGCCTGCAGTATATTCCCACAGTGATGATTGATGTAAGAGGCCATTAATCTTCTCTTCAGAATCTGATGGCTGAAATAATATATGCATGTATTTTCTGTAGAAACCCTCATTGTTTCCAAAAAATGAGCAAGTGGCAACTGGCTGACATGAAGGACTGTATGCCTCTTAAAGAGAGGCAGAAAAAACAGCCTGAGAGAAAGCATTAAAGGTATGTCTACACAGTTGTGACTGAATGCACAGTTATTAATTCATCCGTGGCATGCCTGCCAAGGTAGAAATTTCACGTGCATTTTAGATATGTTAACTACTAGTTAATTCATACTGTTAAAGCCGTGTACAGCATCTGACGCAGAAGGTAGAACTGAACTTCGAAAGTTAGTAGATTTTTAATATATTTTTTTGTTAACCTATAAATGGCCATGGTAACATTTCTAATCCGTTTCAAGGCCAGGTCACATTTTGTCACTAAAACAGTGGTATGAGGTAATAAGTGCACACTTTGGCATAGGTTTGAAAGCTGTGCTGCTTAATGACAGTTGAAAAGATGGTGTGCAAAACCAGACCGAAATTGTATATGTAATGTGTTTGCCTTGATTTTTTCACTAAGGCAACGGGGTTTTTTTGATTTAGGCTATAATTTGGATCTCTTAATGCAATTTAATTTGGTTCAATGCCAGAACAGAAGCACATACTCTTTTGTGTTTGTTTATACCCTTTTTCCTTAGATCAAACTTAATGATGTTGCACCTACAGGAAAAATGTGGTCACAGAGCTGTTGAAAACTTACTTTATGTGTTTCTGAGGTGGCCTGAGAGAGGCATGTAGTTGCGAGAAATGATAGCTTAGATCTTTGGAGTCTGTCTGCCCCAGAGTGTTTTCTTTAACCTTATTTGGTCCCCACAGTTCAAACTCTGTTCCTGTGAAGTGCACCCCCTGATCCCCTGTCTTCCCCACAGCTTTCTGTTTCTCAGACTGAGCCTTTCTTTTCTCTGTGGACTATTCATAAGCTCTTACCATACTATGTTTGTCCTGTTTTCTATGGTTTTTTTTTCAACATGGTGAGAAATTCAGTGGAATTAGCATTCTAGCTTCAGCAACCACTTGAAGGCATCAGCTTCCTTAAGGTGCTGAAGGAAGTTCATCAGATTTAATGACCTTCTATTGCTTTGAGGCTGTAAAGCATAGTTTGAGAGGTATTAGGAGTGTTTCCATGGGGTAGCAGGTTGGTTTGCAAGTTGTATGTAGACAGGTACCTCATTTTATCCTCAAGAATTCAACAGGATTTCATTGTAAATACCTCTAAGTTTGTGTGAGCTGTACCATTTTCTACTTTGTCATTTAACAAAAAGACTATAAAGCGCTTCAATGAATAAGCAAGGATGTAGCTGTAAGGTAACAGCAGACAGCAGTGTGTGTATTGTGAGTGGGATTGGTTTGGATATGAAATCAACATTTAAAAAAAAAACCCTGAAAATTTGTGATACTTGCATTTCCAAAAATTATCTGACTCTGAGAGAAAATGGCCTGCATTGAAAAACCTTATGTTTTTATCTGGTTAAGGAAAATTATTAACAGCAGTAGAGAGGTAACTTGATTTTTTTTTCAGCAAAAAATATAGAATATCAACCGAAGTCTAGTATCTGAACTCAGAAAAATCAGAAATAGAACATGTTTTTAACTGCTCAGATGACTGTCAGTGTATCCTAAATTCTCGTTTTTCCCCACCTAGTCTGAAATGGGATACTTTTATGGATGTGAACTTTACTCAGAGTTGTCGGACTCAGTATGAGTGAAAATGAGTCCATGTTTTACTGTCCTGTGGTATGCAGAATGGTCACACTGCTTAGGGGTGAGCCCCACTGCCTCTGCTTCAGGCATTGCAGAGCTGCATGTCTCAGCATCTTCCTTTGTGGAACATGACCTTCATGAGATAGCTGCAAAGTGAGCTGTCATTTGCTCCGTGATGCACCTCCTGCAGAGATGGCTTCAGGGAGCAAGGAAAGAGGATTGGCCTTGGCCAGATGGACTAATAGACACATGTCAGTGTCTGACTTGTGAGCTGGAGGATAGCCACCCCTGAGTTAATTGATTATAAGATAAGTTTGTCTCTAAAAATTTAGTACTGATTAACAGCACCTCATTTAAACCAAAATGCTTCTGAGGGATTAGAAATACTCATTTAAGTCTTGTGATTCAGAAATAATCTATGCTACAAACAGCTTACTCTTACTACTGTGATGCTTCTGATGACATACTTTCGTACTCCTGGAAAAGAATAACCTCTACTTTTATTTGATTTAGCAGTTAAATCCTTGGCACTTTATACAAAATAACCACATTTTAAAAAATTACCAGCATTAGCTTTTCATCCTGAAGTTGAAGGAATTGGTAGAAGTTCATGGATAAGTTTGTAAGTCCTGCTGGAGGACTCATGTCCCAAAATATGTGCCTTATGTCTGTATTAGTGCCTTAGACTTAGGCACTGAATATAAAATTAAATAAAATGATACTAAGCAAGGTTTCTTTAAAATCTACATATTTATAAAAAATGAAGACAACAAAATCTGTGGGGTTTTTATGCCTATTTAATATCTGTAGGCAGATAACTAATAAAATTATCACTTTTCTCTTTTGCTTCCTATTATGTGTGTTCTGATATTTTTCACTCTGTTTTATGGAGGCTTATTGTAAAAATTGTTACTGTTTGTGTCACAATTTTAGCTGTTTCTAACATAACAAAGATTTTGCTTTAAAGGCTAAAAGATAGCTAGTGTGTCCCATTGGTTTTAGAGTCAGGTCATTAAAATATTATCCATGCAGTATATGTCAAAGGGAAGTTATATAATGAGAATAATTGTATTGCACTTAACATATGTATTTTTTCAAGTAAAAAAGGAACAGTTGCTACCTAAAAAGCTTTAATGCTGATAATCTATGAATATAAACAGTTCTGTTAATGAAAGTTGTGGTTCACTTTAATGTTTGTACAAAACCTATTAATAATTAATAGTATCGACATGTCTGAATTGTGTCTGTGGAAGATTAGCCTTTGCGTTCAAGTCCTTAAGTGAGCAAGCATAGTACAAACATTGAAAAAGAACAGCTAATTACCATGGATAAAAATATTGGATTCATGTTAGGAGAATTTTTAAACAGGGTACTTCTAGATAGAAAACATTGATCATGTGCAAATAGATGTATCTGATGCTGTAAATGGGTATTTTATGTGGCCATAGAGCCACCTTCTTTCTTCTGCTGAATCACCAGTAAGGACTGATTATTGATGAAGGCAAGGGACAGTCCATAGAAAGTTTGCTTGCTCCATATGGGAGTAGAAGTTTGCCTTAGATGCCTGCTTTCTGGTTTATGTTGTATAATACAGAAGAAAAAAAGTTGATTATTTAGGTTTAATATATGGACTCAGAAAGCTTGTTCTATGGAGTCTGTATTTTCCTTCATAATTATGTGCACCTGAGGAAGTAGAGCAGCTCATGGCATACATGAATTGCAGGCCTGAAATTTTTGCTGGGTTTGTGAACAGATGAATAAGAATTTTTCATATGCCTGAATATTAATAATAGTAATTTTCTTCTAGATTCATGTACATATCATCCAGGTGTGCCAGTCTTTCATGATGCTCTCAAAGTAAGTATGCAACTATCCTTTCAACTCTTATTTTTTTCCATATATGTAAAACAGTATGCTTGTTTTCCTTTTTAATTCCAAGTCTTTCAGTGTTGTAGAAACTGATGTTTAACCTATCATGTTTGAGCAAACCCATGAAATCAGAAAAGTGCATTTAACTCAAAGCTGAAGAAAAAATTAAAAGCTGTACACTCATATGGTCTAAATGCCATGCAAGTCTGTATGACACATGTTTCCTATTGATGGACGTTAGGTGTCTCAACAGTTTAATTGGGTCCTCTGAATAGGTGTTTGGAGGTATTGAGAGGTGTCATACTCTTTCAGTTAATTAGCCTGCTTGGAATTCAAACCAGCTGGTCGTGGTTTTATGTGGGTAGAGCACCGATGTGTGTATGACATTTGCCTACTGTAAAAAATAATTGTGTTCTGTTAATAGGACAAATGCAAATGTTGGTTAAGTAGGGACTGGCCACCCATGCCTCTGATGCAGCTGTCCAGGATTCTTGGGCTATGTATTCAGTAGTGAATGAAATATACTTGTGACTGGTTTCCAGGGCTTAGGCCAACTGTATATTTGTTATATTGTTATATTTGTTATATTAGACTGTTTTCCTGCTACAAGATCTTCTGGATGAATCTGAAGTGCCTACAGGGAATTATTTGAGACACAGCTGCCAAAACAATACTGGAAATCATTCTAACAGTTTAATTGTGTCTTGTCAGAAATCTGGTGTCCAAAAATGGAGTCTGACTCTGATCACTGTTTTAATACAGATGCAGCCTATGTGACCTTTCTTAGGACACCAAACTGCTATTTAACCAAGCTCTGGGGCAAGCATTTTCTCTTGGCATTTAGGAACTGCTTCCACTGGCAGTGCATCTCATCCCTGACCCATAATCTGGTGTCTTTTGGGCTCATGGAAGCTTGTGCGCATGTGTCAGGTAGCATGTTTTCTGTGAGTGATTGCTGGTGTTGCAGCACATGATTCCAGAACTGGCCATCATGTACCACTGGCAAATTGGGACAGATGCTGTTAGATCAAATATGATACAGTTACTTAGACTACGACAATTTGTTGTGTACAAAATTATAGTTGTACTCAACACAGTACATAAAACTTCAACCTAATTGTACAGTTACCTTAAAAATTTGTGTTTGTTCCCTCTTCCTCTTACATACACACAGTTTTTTTAAAAAGTGCTACTTCCCCCCTCCCCCCCCCATCCTATCTCTTGCCCTAATTAAAAATTTATCATAATATTGTATGAGCAGTTTTCTTCCTGTTGTGAATTCTAGATACTCTTAAGTGGGTAGAGTGAATCTTTTTTCTCCTTGACTGTGGAAATAGTTAATATTTTGAAGATATTTTAGAACCACCTACATAAACCCTTACCGTTTAAGCTCTCAAAGCAGTGGTGCATTTATTAGTCAAACTGTTGCCTTTATTAAGGTTCTCTGAGTTCTGATACATTATTCACAGTGGCAAGATAATTTCCTCTCAGATTGGATTTCTGGTTTATATAATGAAAAGTGCTCTTGATGGATGTGGTTGGATAGATGGCGATTCAATGCAGATATCCAGCTTTATGGTTGGAAATAATCAGTTGAAAGACTTGACTAGTGCTCAAGGAAAGAAAAAATCCTCATTATTTTAGGAAGGGGACCTGTAAATTCTGCCACAGGTGAGCGTGATGTCAGGTATCATATTTGTTTGGTTTGCTTACGTGTTACATTATGAAATAAAGTAACATTTCTGTTTTCTGTTGTACAGAGTTGGCATCTAACTTGTCATGGAAATATTATCTAACATTTGCTGAACTTTCAGATTAAGACAGCATGAGTGAGCTAGAAATGGCAGCTGTAAAAGGTTTCTCTGGCTTTTAAAAATGCAGATGATGATGATGATATTTTCCAAAGAAGGAAAGAAAATAATCCCTAATCATTATGTGCCGCATCTTGTAAAGGAACATAATTAGACTTTCACTTTTCATAAGGTGTTGCCAAGTAAGGTAGTCATGCTTGGTTTTTTATTCCAAAATGTTTATAGGGTTGGTCGTGCTGTAAGAGAAGAACAACAGACTTTTCTGACTTCTTAAGCATTGTGGTATGTACTCATGATTATTTACCATTTTTATACTTACCAAAGGGCAGTGATAAATATTAAATGGTACATGTGCTTACATGTTTAAAATTTGCTTATTTGTGTTAAAGCTGTCTTAAATCAGTCTTAATATCTATTAAATGTTAAAAATGTCTTAAATAGCATGCGCTATTTTTCTTGATAGAAAGTTGAACTTGGGTCTCATTTTCAAGCTTTAATTGTTATAATTAGTTCTATCAAAGCCTATTTCGACACTTGTTAACAATGAAGGAAGGTCAATATTTATTGTTTCTTTGCTTGATTATGGAAAGTGTGCATTTTTCTTTATCTTCTGTCCAGATAAAGATATTTTCCACTTTACTTGTACGATTTCCGTTGTAGTCAGTGTGAGCTAAAGGAGAAGATGGGGCTGAAGAAATAAGAAATCTTTTTGCAGTTTTTGATAATATTTAATTGTGCACACAAACTATGCTGCATATGCATAAATGTATACTTTCCACAATAGGGCTGTACAAAGGGTCTCCATAACAGTGAGAAACCTCCTGAGCCTGTTAAACCAGAAGTCAAAACTACCTCTGAACGAAAGGAGCTCGCTGAACTGAAACCCAAATTTCAAGAACACATCATTCAGGCACCAAAACCATTGGAAACAATTAAAAGGCCAAGGTACAGTATATGAAACTCAATTTTTCCACATTTGTGGTCAGTCAGCCAAGTTAAACCTCATTTGGTTGTTCAGTGTTACACATTTCATACCGTGTAAAAATTCTCAGATTAACTTTAAAAGAGCTTGTGATTGGTAGCAGTGATGGTGTGATCTTCAGCTTCAAAATGAGATAAAAGAGCTCTGGTTAGGACAAGGTAGTACTGGACCTCTCAGCATTTAACTTCACTGGAAACAAAAATTGCAGTCTGTAGCATCGTAGCTTAGAATGACGCTAGCTGTTGTGTTTAGTGTTTTAAACAGTCATAAAATGTAATTTTAGGGTGCTTGTATGTAGATTCCTTAATCCCTCTGATTTATTTTTATTGTTGTAGAGTATTTAGGATTTCCTGTTGAAAGCCAAGACTTCACTCTAAATTTGTAGTCTGTTTTTCCATAAACAGTAAGAATTGGCATTTCCAAATCTAGTTTTTTTGTTTACTGTTCTAAGGGAGGTTGGAAAGGAAGAGCCTTATAGCAAGATTAAAAGTTACTACTTTGTTGTCTTTTGTAAATTATTTTTCACAAAGCTGACATGAATACATGGACATTTTTTTAGCCCAGATGAGCCAATGACAAATTTGCAGCTGAAAGTGTCAGCTTCCTTGAAGCAAGCACTAGATAAACTGAAACTGTCATCAGAAAACGAAGAGAAAAAAGGTAAGGCTATAGGGAGGTTAAGTAGGTATGTGGAGCTAATTGTCACACAAATAAATAAAATGCTATTTTTTGTTGATGTTTCTGAAGTGATTGTTTCATGTAATTATGTTCTTAATCATCTGGGAAGTATCATCTTTCCAGTCCAGGCAATGATAACCAAAGTTGAAATATGAACTATGTGGAGACTTGGGTCTTAATAGCAGTATGTTGCAGTTAAAATAATTTGAACTGCCTGTTTTGTAAGATTTTTCTGGTTAGAATGGGCATGATAGGAACATCCATTTCTGAATATATGACTGAAAGAGTTCCCAAGAAATTAACTCTGCACCTATGTTACTGCAAACACTGTGTCTTATAAAGCCTTTTGTATACTGGTGAAATTCCTCTGAATACTAGTTGGTTCCCCCTCGTCTGTTTTTCATTTTTTTTAATTTCCCAAAGTTTATTTGGAATTTTTTTCCAGAACTACATTGCTCCTTAAAGTACACTTTTTATGGCTATTTTATACTCTTCTGTTCTCATGCCAAAACTGTCATTTAGCTCTTCTTTCTACATGGTATCCAAATTCTTTCCTTGTGTGTATCTATAGACAGCAGTTGGAGCTTTTCTGTTCTTAGATTTACAGAACCAAGCAAGGTGTTGTAATAATCCTCTTCATCAATTTTTTTCTGCCACACCTAAAACAGTGTAAACGTATAGACCCTAGAATCTGATGCATGGATAATACAGTTTTTGGACTGTTTGCATAATTTCTGTTTCTTTGTACCATTCTGGCAGACCTCAGTGCCAGGCAGAAAATTTTTCTGATCTACTCCTTAGCTTGTTTTAATTCTTAATAAAAGCAAAATATTTAATACATTATAAAATTCAGTTGCTATTTTCTATATTATTCTGTTTACAGAGGAAGACAGTGATGAAATCAAGATTGGGACAGCATGTAAGAATGCAGGCTGTTCAAAAGTAAGTGGTTCAGTTCCACTCCTAAACTCAGCTGCTAAACTATTAAGTGTGCCGTTTTGTTTTCCTTTCTTGTGTGTTTTTCTCTTTGCTACAAATTGATTTGGAAATGGCACAAAGTCCATCAGGCTTAACGAATACACATTTGGTAACACACTTTAAGTATGGACAAATGTGGGCTGTTTTGTGTTGTGCATGCAATAAGTCTTAAGATTATTTTTTTAAGCCGGTACAGAACTTCTAATTAGCAAGTTTGCAAAACCAATGATACTGACGTGTTTTAACTCAAAAATATGAATTATAATGTTGGTGAGAGTTGGCTTACTGATGATGCTTGAGTTGCTCTTGATAATCTGTGTATAGGTCAGAAGCATCTGCAGATATTATCAATTAATGCTTCCTGCTAGAAGAATCCGCAACAAAAATCTTGTAACATTTCTAGCACCCAAATTAGTCTTTATAATACATAGTCATTTAAACTGAAAGCTTTTTATACTGACACTTTCGTGTTGTACAGAATGGGACAGTAGAATTTAAATGGGTATTTCACTGGATATCTGACAGATTTTGCATGAAACTCTGGTGACAGGAAAGTTTACAGCAGTGTCTTATTTGTGTTAGGAAGAACTGATACTCAATGACAGATTTGTATATTGTTCAATTTACTTCCTTTTGAGAATCTGTGTTTTATGAATTATAAATTTAATTTATTTTCCAGTTAAGTACTTTCTTCCTCTGAATATTCAGAGTATTTTTAAGGATAGATATTGCTGAAGATCTAAAGTGTCCTTTATGAGCATAGATCATGTCACCGTTGATGTATGCCATTGAACTAATACGAAGTATAGCTTGTTAGGAGTGCCAGGGAACCTTCTGGGAATGAAGGTTGAATGGTTACTTTGAAAAGCTAGGGCAAGCCATTAGATATAGATTATTTACTCAGAAACTTTGTAGGACTTTGTTCAATGTTTGTGTTGTGGGTTGTGTTTTGGTTCGGTTTCTTCACTTGGTCCATATACTGTAACAGTAAATACACTTTAAATGCTTTGTTTTACTAGACCTACGAAGGACCACACAGCACAGAAGACATATGCATATACCATTCTGGTGTACCTATATTCCATGAAGGGTTAGTGTACAGTTAACTTTAATTTTTTTTATTTCGTCTATTAATCGTTCATGCTTTCTTCATAGATGTTGCATTGTTTTCATTCTGTATTTCTTTATCAGTCAAAAATGGCAATGCTTGAAGAGAGAATACTAAAGTAACAGTAATAATGCAAAAAAATCTCAACTATTCACAGTAAATAGTGTCCTAAATATTGTTTGTTAATTACTTTGTGAACTTTCAAGGATGAAGTACTGGAGTTGTTGTAAAAGGAAAACATCTGACTTCAATACGTTTTTAGCTCAAGAAGGCTGCACAACAGGAATACACGTATGGACTAAAAAGGATGCGGTAAGTAGCATTAACTTTGCATTCTGTAGCGGGTCATTTTGAATACTGAAATGTAGTGAGTAGCTTGACTGGGTTACTACTCTAGTTGAGCTGTTAGAGATCACTACCTCTGAAATAATATGGAGGATATTATGCACAGCATGACAACAGAGAAATGGAGTTTGAAGTAATCTGTGGTAGAAGTGTACTTGTAATAGAGTACTAACTTTCTTTTTAGTGATATGTATGTAGTAAAAGAGGTTTTGGCAAATTCAGAAAAAAACAGCCTTTTCTGCTTTGTTAGTTAAGAAAGTCTATAGTATTCCATATAGAATATACTCTCTGTATATATTACTTTAAGATTATTGAAAGTCTTTCCACTCCCACGGACCATGAAGAGAGCAGCCATACATGTTCTGTAGTAAAATAACTGTACTGACAGTTTAATTCAGAGTAGTTGAGTTATTGTTTAGGTAGTGATGACAGGGCAGGTAAAGTCGATGAGGTTCCATGGGTGGGGGTGCAGGGATGGAAGGGTCATTTTCTGTCTAATTTGGATTCTGTTTACACATCTGAATCTAATTGAGTGTTTTGGTTTGGCTATTGGTATAACAAATACAGAGAGAGCGTATGTTTAGTTTGTAGGTATTTCATTGCAATGTTGGGAACAAACTACAGAATGACAGAATATTACCATTTAGGATTTAGAAAGATTCTTAGAGAACCTTACAGAATGTAATAATGGAATTGAACACTTCAAAAATATTAGTGGTCACGTGTTGGGTGCAAATGAACACGAAACTCTTGTTATGAATATGTTGTCTGTTGCTGAGGCAAAATGGGTTTGATGCTGCAAACATCAGTAACATTTAACAGAAGAAAATAAAGATATGTTACAGAAAGTGTAGTTCTGTTATCTCATTCTATAATAGCTTTACAAGTCCTTTAAGTCATGGAATTTCTGCTTGCTTTGAGGATTTATGTTTGTGTTCAAGAATTATTTTCAAATACAGAAAAGAGGTATTAGAAAAAAACAGCTGAAGTTGTGAGTCTAAAGCAGGAGAGTATTCTTGTAAAGAATTTACCCAGATGTTAAGAAACTGCGTGTCCATCAAATATGTGTATATTGAGATAATAAGCTTCTGGCTAACTGAGGGTGTTTGACTTTACTTTTTTGCTGTTAATTTGGGGGGTTTTCCACCATTTATTTTTCCTGCATCAGAGAACAGAGGGTAATATTCAGTCATTTTTTGCAGTAATATGAAAGTTTCTTGGTGTTATGGCTTTCTTTTTCTTTGGTCAGTTTCTTTCTGCAACCTACTGGATAACCACAGTCATGGAAGGGAAGTTAATTCAGCTTTTTTTTTTTTTTTTGTGATTGGGATTTTTTTTAGGGTTTTTCAGTGTGGTTGTTTTCCCTATCACAATGTCCTGGTTTCTTACTGTAGTTTCTGTTATAACCATTGCTTTTCCTACTTATAATGTTTGTCAGGGGCCAGTAGCTGAAATATTTATAGTAGAGATGTAAGGGGAGTCTTGCAGTCTCTTGTGAACATGAAATACAGTTCTTCATTAGCTGTGCTTATTGCCAATTAAAATAGTCCTGGGATTTTATCCTGATTAATCTTGTAAAAATACTTCTGAATGCAACTTTAAGTCTTTTTTTTCTGTACGTTTTTCCTTATATAGGGTAAGAAAGTAGTTCCATGCAGGCATGATTGGCACCAGACTGGAGGAGAAGTAACTATTTCTGTATATGCTAAAAACTCTGTTCCTGATCTGAGCTATGTAGAAGCAAATAGCACAATGGTGAGTATCTACCTTAAGATGTAATTATTATTTTTTTTAATTCTTACAACAGCATGAAGTTAGGAAAATCTGGCTTTACTTTATTTAAAACTCAGAGGTAGCCTAAGAATCTTTTTTGAGTGTCAGCTTTTTCTTGGCATTTGTATTTGTTCAAGTATGTATAGCTTCTTTTTTTTCCCTTCTGTTTGGACATCTGTGCTTTAATGTGGTTTTTTTTTTTTAAAAGCTGCAATATAATATATTTTTAAAAAATCTTTAATTTGACTTCTGCAATTAAAATCCAAATGTGATGGATTTGCATCACCATATGTGTAAATAATTATAGGTCATAATTTATTTGGCTTAATTTAATTTAATATCATTCTTCATGGCATGCAGTTTCATAGCTACTAATATTAAACAAGTGTTAAAATACATCTGATTTCTTAATCATGCATTTGGAGAAAACGATACAGCTTCCAGGAGATAGATATATAGATATATGTGGCCACTACTGACTAGGATTTTGTATCAGAATTTATTAAAATGGATTTTCATTTCTCTGACTGAGGGACAATTTATCACTTTGCTCTCGTAGGATCTGAGTTCTAATGTGATATATTTGCTTAAACATACTTGAGTTGTCAAATGTATTATTAGCCTGACAAATTTTTCTGTTTTTCCTGTTAAGTTAAATATCCATATTGTATTTGAAGGAGAAAAGGAATTTCATCGCAGTGTGAAATTATGGGGAGTAAGTATAATTATTTTTTAAAAGTACCCACAAAACAAAATACAAACCCTTAGCTTCCTCCCTTTCAAAACAGTTTAGTTTTCCTCGTTACTTTGCTTATTGAAAGAAATTCAGTTGCATGTCATTTAGTAATTGCATTTAAATCTGAATCTAATGCCCCAAGTGATCAGGTATGACATCATAGTTGACACTGCTTTGAGCAGGTCACCTCCTGAGGTCCTTTCTGGTCCCAACACCATGATAGTGGTGTTGCAGAAAACCCTTGACACCACGTAGCTCTATGCTTATGTGTATGTTAGACCAATGCATATATTATATATGCATAGGCATATGGTCATAGCTTGGGAATAGGGGAGACCCGACTTCTAGATAACAGGGGAAACTCCATCTACCTAAACATCTACTGAAATTTAGCAATAAGGTACTCTTCCTAACTTAATGCCCAAACATCTGGTAGTCTTTTTTCTTAAATAGAAGTGTGAAATATGCTTTCTGTTCTAGGTAATTGATGTAAAGAGGAGTTATGTGAACATGACGGCTACAAAGATTGAGCTTACTATGAGAAAAGCAGAGCCCCTATTATGGGCAAGTCTTGAATTACCGGTATCCAACACACAACAGAAAAAAGAGAATTCAGATCAATAATGTTTCCAAGAGACAAGTTATTTCCCCTTATGAAGTGGTGACTTGCTACTGTAATCAAATATTCAACTTTTATATAGATTCTTTTTTTAATGCTAGATCCTGTGTTCTGTTCTACAAAGAAATTTGACGCACAGTAAATGGGGGTGTAAACCTGAAGAGTAATAGCTATTTCTGCTCTTGCTCCCATGAGTATATTTATTCTAGTTGGAGAGCCTCCATGGGGATTTAGAGTAAAAGAGCTATTGCCCTGTGCTTACAACCTTACCTGTCATGCATTGACTATCCAAATAGATGTGTTTGTTCTCAGTCCACTGTGTGTGTTAATTTTTCAAGTGTTTGGTTTAGACTGGATCTACTGGGTAGCACATGTTAAATTCAGCACTGTTCATTTATGAAGCATACAGTAATACAGATACAAAAATCTGAGTTTATGAAGTGATTTAGCATGCAGTGTACAGCATAAGCAAAACACTGTAATTGGAAATCAAGACCTTATTTTTGTTTTCAGTTGTCCACCAGTAAAGATTGGTGGCTGAAAACAGGATGGTTTTAAAGGTGAGACTTTTATCCAACTCATGATGTTGCTTTCTCTTTCTGCTTGAAATAGTTTCCTAATTTGGGATTGCAGCTAAAAAACAAGCCAATGTTTTCATATGTCATGCAAAATAAACATGATTATTGTGCCAAAACTTACATATGTAAACAAGTAGTCCTGTGGATTGTGAGATGTGTGGATACTCATCTGCCCACCTTGACAGACCTAGAATAACACCAAGAGAAACACAGAACATAGTAAAGGCATTTTGAACTTAAATGTGGATTGCTAAGAATCTTACTGTTTTCCACCAGGTATTATTTGACTTGAGCTCAGAGTTCTGTTTCCAGCAGTACTTGGAATCCTACTTCATGCCTAAAGTAATAGGAAATACATTACCAAAGAAACCATCCCCAAACACCAGGAAAGTAATACCAGTGCTGTATATATGAAACTTGGTTTGGTGCTTCTTTACTTTTTCTCAATTACTTGGAGGGAGTGTGGTTGTTTACTCAGTTGGGCTCCTATTAGAAGTTCCAGCTCCAAGTTCTGTCTAAAAGATTCTATTAACCTTTAATAATGCCTCCTATTATCTTTTTAAGGAAATTTGAAATGTCAGGTGCTATGAAGTGATAGGGACAAGCTTACAAAAATGTATGCCTGCAAATGGTCCTCTAAAAATTTAACAGATGTTCCCTGATGTGTTTTGAACCAAGAAGTGGAGCAGTTATTAGTATAATACTAAGAACAATCATTTCAGTGATGAAAAGTTCTAGATAGCTGTAGCTACTAGCATGCCATCTGTATTTTTGTATGCAGAACTCTGAACTTGGACAGCAAAATGAGCAGTGTTTAAAAGCCAGGATAAAGTTCTTATTTAACAAGCAAATTCAAACGTGTGCTTATCCATATGGATATATTAATACCCTAAATATCTTATGTTTTCTACATTTTTTTAAACATATTTTCAATTTATTTGCATCTTCACATACAGTAGGTTTACATAATGTAAAATCCATTTTTAAAAAACTAGAAGCAAAATGGAATTTATTAGGAAAACAGAATTTCTGTTTTTAAGCAAGTTATATTCTTCCTTACTTTACTACAGGCTAAATGGAGAGAAATGTCAGTGGATGGACCTTCTGCTGTTAATGCTGCAGGCTTTGGGACCCCATAACTATGTGGTTTAGAATCACAGAATTAGAGAATCATTGTTGCACTCCTTAAAATTACATTCTTCTGATAGCTGAGTCAACTTGGCCATAAGCAGAAGAAACACCCTGTAAACATGGTCCTCAGCTTTGCTTTTGCTTTTCATTCATTCCTCCTACTCTTTTCCTATTATTCAAACTTTCAGCACAAAATTAAAAGATTTTCAGGGGTTCCATAATGACTTTCCCCACTAGTGGCAATAAAACCACTTGTAAAATTCACCCGTTTAAAAAAGTAAGAATCTTGCCTTTGATCAGGCAAGAAGGTATAGGTTTTACAAGTAATAGCCTAGTTTTATGTGGCCTGTGATGTTTTTCAAAGTAGAAGGATAAACTTTCAGATGGTATAGACTGCCATAAGTCTCTTGTTTAACTGCATTAATTCTTAGCAGCTTTTTATAACCATATGTCTGCATCCATTATCAAGCTGCAAAAACTGTATCACATACTGAATTTGAGTGTTTTGAGCAGTTGCTAAGAACAGGCTTCAACACACCAGTGTTTGATCCTGGTATTTCATGAAATGACATCTTGACATGGGTAGTGGTAGCTGACGCTTCAGTGGAATATTGGTTATGCTGTAGCTTTTATTAGTAAGTGTGGAGAGATGGTGAAACCAGCTATAGTGTACCAAACAGTGACAATGCGTTCTCAACAGCTACATTTGAAAACTAAGCTAAGTGATTTTTGATCACATAGGCTTCCACCTGTCTAATAATAGTGAAACTAAATTGCAAACAAGTATGTACTGGAATACTTGCTGTTAAATTTACCCTTTTTTATGTTTTAAGAAGTGCTGTATTTAACAAGTTGGTTAACTTGATACAGTCTAGGTATATTTTTAGAATTAATGAGTCTTTAAAAGCTGTAGTGTGTTTCAGTGTGGGTTTACATGTTACACATGTAGACAGCACATTACATGTCTCAACTGACTGGCCAGGTGCATATAAAACTTCCTTCACTATCCCTTTTCAATATGAAAAGTTGCATGGCTATACAAGTTTGTGACAGAAATCTTAATCTTTTCCCTAATGTATATGCCATTTTCCTACCGAGTGTTGTATATTATATCTGTAACAACATTTCTTGGAGGAGTTGAAATTTATTTTTGTTGTTAATATACTGTTAAGCACTGGGCTCTTCAGCTGCTCTGAATTATGTTTTACATGGCACTGATGTAACGACAAAAAAATTATCTATTGGATTATCTTCTGGAACATGTACATTATCAAGTCACCATTTCAAGTAGTTTAGGGATTAGTTTTAATAGGACTTTTGCCTTGGGAAAAAAAAATCTACTTATTCTATGTAATGATGCATTTTTTGCTTGCATTCTTTAAACATGGCATGAGTATTGGTTAAATACTGTACCTGTTAGTCATTGGTCCTTCCAATTGCTACTAAAATTTCTTTTATCTCCGTTCAGGAACGAGATCCTTTTTAAAAGTAATGAGTTATGTGTCTGGAACACTGTTTTAAGGTGGTTATAATTTTGCCATTATAAGAGTTTTGAATTATAGTTGAAGGGGGAAGATGTCTTTTTGCATGGTTATTTGATTCTGCACATTCATAAAACTTATACGCAGAAATTAATCTCATGTCTTCATGTTCTAATTTTTTTCTAAATGTATTCAATAAAATTCTTATTACATGCTGGTTGCATTTGGGATTTTTTTGAATTCTTTTGTTATGCGAGAGAACTTCCCTTTGGATCTGCAACACACTTGTTGACATAAAATGTAAGTAGGCATCTTCCACCTGTCAGCCTATATATGAGGGAAACTGTGTAGCAAAGAGGTTTTTCCCCACCCCTTGGTTTCTTTCTTTGCCTGGTACTTTCTAACACAGCAGCCCAGTCAAGATACATAAGTTTTGCAGCAATTTGAGTAAGCCTGGCTGCTCAGATGGGGGCCTCTCCTTCACAGAAATTGTTCTGTCCAAGAATTTTGGGCTGTCACAGACATAATGGAATGGAAATAATTCCAAATACAATGTTTGGGCTGTTTCTAAGAATGCTGAACATAAGAGCTGCTCCTTTTTTACTGGTTTCTTGGAAAAAGGAAGAAGATACCTATCAAAACCTCTGGCATTCCCACAATGAAGAGAAAGAATATTCACTTCTTGGGGCCTGAAATTTTTCCTGGTAATAGAAGCTTTGTGTTTTCTCAAGGTTTGATTAGGTGTTTTAACCTAAGATAATTAAGATACTGTCACAAACATTATAAACCAATCCAGTTACTGTGCCAAATAATTGTTAGTGAAGTAAATTCAGTTTCTCTGAGTTTGTCTGCAAAATGAAGGGTGGGTGTTGGGGCGATAGGATGGGCAAAGGGCACAGTCCTTACGATTTCTCTGCAGGCTGCACAGATTTCAACCTGTGTTCATAAAGTCAGCACTTTTCTGTTCAACTTCTCTACATTTTGTTTTCCTGACACAATGCTGGCACAAACAGGAATGAAGACCTATTGTATGTGACCATATGTGACCACTGTCTATGCATTTGTAGTCAGTCTGTGAGCCTAGAAGGAAAGGGACTGTAGGAGCAGGTACCTGTGATCTGGAGGTATGTGAAATGCATCAGTGTGTTTTTCTTTAGCTGAACTGATCAACTTGTATGGTGACTGATTCAGGCTAACAGAAAGCATGCAGGGTTTTTGCAGCCAGTGTGCTTCTGTGTGAGAAGGAACCATCCTCTTGAATAAAATACTTTTGTTACCTACTGGAAACAAGTATTTGAAAATACTCAGCAAGGACTGAGTCCTGAAGTTATGCTCTGAATCCTATATAAATACCTAGTCCTCAGGCAGGTTATCTTTTATCATACCGCAGACGGCAAGGATGATCTGATATTTGCAAAACCAAAGTCCAGTCAAGCTGAATTATGTGAACTGGGATGGTTTGAAAATGTAGAAAGAAAAGCTAGGTCTGTCTCATCCATTTCTGAGGTTTGCCAGGACTAGATACTACGTATGTATATGGCTCTATATAAGAAGCTGTCCTTGTTCTTTCAGAAACTTGGGATCTTCCCCAGGTCGCCCCTGCGTGCCAGTCTCTGCTGACAGCTTGATAAATACAGTGTTGCTGTGGCTGGTAGCAGAGCACATGTTTTGTTCCAGCTCTGCAGGGCCTCGGGACTTGCCAAGCTTACATTGTCTGCACTCTTTGCCTGCCCAGAGCTTTGTTTTAGCTTGTTTGACTGTTACAAGTTTTCACATGACCAGGTGGCTATTGCCTTATTTGTTTTACCTTTGTTTCTCCTTTTATAGTTGTATTGTATAATCATATTTTTAATATAGATACTAGCACCAAGCAGTTTTTCTGTGTAGAACAATGGATTTATTCTAGCATCACATTGCAGAGGATTACAAGCCTGGTACAAGCAGAGGCCTTGAAAACTGGGGCATGGGATGTGGTGTAGAGGGCCATGGGCATGAGACCTTTAGAGAAGGAGCACAGAATGATAGTGGTGATGCCAGGAAGATAAACAGCTCATAATCATTTTAACTGCTTTATTATTGAAAGGTTTGTCTGTAATAGTATTATTTGGGGTTTTTTCTGTAGCTAATAGCGACTAAACATTCTTTGATCACACAGTTAAGATTTCAAGTATACTAACAATGAACTTGTCTTTACTTATAAAGTGTGTCTCTTTCTGCCTGTAATAAGCCAGGCAGGATGTTTGTTTTACTCCTCTGCCATTGCGATGGGCAACACGACATAAGTTCCCACACTTCTGCAAGGCTAATTCTGTCTGAGCTGTGGGCTGAAGATGATGTTTTAGAGCAGGCAGGAGGTGCCAGGGCATGCGGGCTCAAGTGGAAAAATGGCAACGTGGCTTAGGAGATGTAGAGAGCTGAGGAAGCAAAAACGAGGGGTATGCTGGTTCCAGGAATATTTGAAGGCTTGAGTGATCTCAGCGGGAGCTGAATCAGTACTCAATGTTTGCAGCTGACCATGTTCCCCTGGCCTGATGTCCTACTGCTTATGGTTACATAAGGGTGTGTTGTCACAACAGTCACTGTATCCAGCAACTGTGGCTTGAGTTTCCTTCTGAAAATACAGCCAAGTTTGGAGGTAGAGTGGATGGCAGTATCAGGAATGAGTCAGCAGCTTGCTGTCAGCAAGCTAGCAAAGCACATCTGGGGAAGGTGCCATGTAAACATAGCAAGTCTATTCTTATCTGATACCCTTCTGTGAAATGCGTTTCTCATCATCTCTCTTGTTCTTTCCCTTTATGGAAGGTTGTAATGTGTTTGCAGTTTACTTGAACCAGGTCCAGCCCCTCCTGCATGAAGTTTCTAACAAACCAGAACTCCTCCATTCTTTGAGCTCCCCAAGCTCATCCAGAAAATGGATGTGCCTTACAGGTTGAGTTAAAAATAGCTTCTACGTTTTCTTGGATGTAAGAAAATGTTTAAAAGTGTAGGATCCATCTGCACAAACGCTGTACTGACGCTCTCCAGAGCTGCCTTGACTTCACAGACTATAACTGGCACAAGCAAATACAGAAGCAATCCATAGGACAGCTCCTAAACCATTTAGACTTTCTAAGTTCCTCCTGCTGATGCTGATTAACAGAAGTAACTGCTGATTGTGAGTTAGAGCTCAACTTCCATACATCATAGGACTTGCAGCTAAATTACAGGATTAAACAGTAGCCACTCTTGCTTGGTTGGAGCTGCTTTTAGTCACAGTGGTGTAATGGAAACAGTCTTTTGTGTTAAAAAAAGGCTTCTCACTAAATTCAGCTCCTGCTGGTTTCTCTAGGGACAATTTCTGTGTAGCAGGTGTTGCTCAGTGAGGAACATAGCACTTTGGTTTGGCTTGGAAGAGAACAGCATAGCAGAAGCAAGATGTCTGTATTTCATTTAATTAGTGTTGTCTTCTTTGCTTTGCCATAGGGAAGTCCATGACATTCACCATCATTCAAGTCTCTTAATGGCACTCTTAACTGTATGCTAAAAATCCCATGAATGGAAATAGAGGAATTTAGAGTAAGAGAGAAAAAATGGGCCATTTATATCCTGTTCCTACCAGCTGCAGAGAGGAGGTTCCCACTTGCTTTTGATGCTGTATCTCCTGGAGATTTCAGCTCTGCCTCCTTCAGGGTTTCTACAGCATTGCCTGGCAGGTGCGAGAAGTCCTCAGTGAATTTCAGACTCAGTCAGGGTCTTCCAGAATCTCATCTTGCTGCTGTTTTCCTTAGGAATAATGTGGGGTCATTGCAGTAGGTCTCTGCAGATACTGCACAGAACCTCTTACCCTCTGAATGACACCACCACGGGATAAACTTTCTGCTCTCAAGCAATTTTGTTTTGTAAAAAGATCTGTGATTGACATACTTAATCATTATCTTGGTTTGAAGAGGAGAACTAGCAACCATTTAAAGATACATTTTTTTAATTTTCATGGGTTTCAGTCAAGTGCACATGAACAGAGGACCACCAGCAGCACTTAAAGAGCTGTCTATTCAGTGGAAAGCACAATGAGAGAGTGCAAAGTACCATCTTTCCCAATAATCTCTCCATGACAAATGCATAAAGCACGGAATGAAGCAGGTATGTTTTAATCCCTTCCCATTATGTTTTAATTTCCAAGTGCTTTAGGGCCTTCTGAATGAAAGGTTGCATCTGGCTCATGAGGCATGAGCACTCCTTGCATGGGTCTGATCCTTTTTTAACCCATTTTTCCTCTCACAAGCTCCTGTAGCAGTGTGCTTCACCAGATTATCACATGGAGTGTGAGTCATCCCTTGGTTTTAAACCTGCTGCCTGGTATTTTATTAGTCCGCATGGACAGGAACAGCAATAGTTCCTCCACACAAGGAAAGGGTTCCAGGTCACCGAGGGCTGCTGGCCAGGTGTTCAGGTCCTCTTCTGTTGCAAAATACTATGCAGTCAGTAGAGTTCACATTCTTTTGGCCCTTATGAACACGCAGAGATTATTTTCTAGGTTATCTGTAGAAGGACAGAATAATAGAAATCGCGTCTGTGGAAAAGTCAGCGTACAGCACCAGTACTGGTTGTGATCACCTGCTTAATGGGCTGACTGACTGCTTTAGGACCTTGCTCTTGCAATGTCATTCCCTTAATAGATAAATAAGGGTTACAGTGTGTTTTATTTTTATCACTGTTGTAAAAGAATGCAAATTTTTATCAGATGAGGCAATTTAAAAGTTTGACCTGGACTTGAAAAATTGCTTTGGCTGAACCAAAAAAACAGACAAACCCAAATGTCCTGTTCTAACACCTGAACTGTATAATTAGTGAGATTTATGAAACTTCTGCAGCTGGTGTACTTGTATGTCAGTCATCAAGATACTGGGATAGGGAAATTTTCATTTCATTGCTCCGCAGAGGCAGTCCCTTGATACATGAGTCAGCTTTGGGAAGGGTTGTTAAATTACAGGGTGTTGAGAGAAGCACTGGCATCACTTAATTGTCAAAAATTTTGGATTAGCCTGAGTTTTTATTAAGCTTAAGTTCTGCAGAGCTTTTTTTAGGTGGTTCTATTTATTGACTGATTGAAAAACACAGCAGAATAACTATTTTAAGTTACTACCATTTTTGGTGCAAATGAGTAACTGGATTGTATTTATCACGTACTCAGTGCAGAATGGAGCATGTAGCTTATCTCCACTTTCCAGCCATCACTAAATTGACCAAGTGTTCCAGCTTCCTTTCCAAAGGCAAACCAAAGGTATTTCAACCATAAGAGAATCTGAAATAAACTTCCTGGCACTGTCCCTTTGGAACTGATTTTCTAAAGAGACAATGGGCAAACCACATATCCAAGAGATATTTGGTTCATCACAGTTTGATTTTGCCAAATTATTTTGCAGCCCCTGTCTAAGCTGAAGGGTCTGTTTCTCCCAGCTATATGATTCACAGATTGCTTCAGCCATATTGAGTGAATGAACTGGGAAAATTGAATTGGGGAAGGACAGAGTAGGCAGTCCAATGCTATCCATTTGTAAGGGAGAGCCTGAAAAATCCCCCCACATTTTAAAATTATGGGCAGGCAGAGCTACACAAATACAGCAGCCTTTGGGCTGGGAGACAGCAGTAGTTGCTTAGTTGCCCATCTATAGGGAATGAGATACTACTGATTAAAGCAGGGGAGGCAATCCTGGCTCTCAGTAACTGATCCTTTCAGTGCCAAAAATATGTGACTTTGTGGAAATCAATTAGTATAAGCCATTTTTAAGTGGTTTGGTTTCCTTATTTATAAGGGTTTGGGTATCACTCTCCCTCAGTAGAACTTTATAGAGAGGAACAGATATGGATTTAAGCTATTTTGTATACTCCTCAGGATGTAGCGGGTCATGATGAATTGTACATTCATACAGAATTATCAATTAAGTTGAGAAGAGGTGCAAAGCAATCTATGCCAGCTGTGCATTCAGCCTGATTTGAGCTGTAATTTATTCTTGCAGCTTCAAACTACACATGGAAGCAAGAAGATATATGTCCTTTTGCTGCAGCAGGGTAATGACACAGAACTTCAAAGGCTAACTATCACTGAAAAAATATGTTTACTGGTAAAACATTTGTTCACTGGTTTATACTGTTAAAGAGCTTTCTGTAAATGAAGGAGGAAGCACACTTTGTCAGATATTTCATTTTTATGTGGAAATTCCTTATTTGCCTTATCCTCTGATGATCCTGCAGCAGCAGCTGCTGACGGATGCAAAGCTGGATCCTCTTCACAAGGAAGAGGCACTAGTGGCTTTTTTTCTGTTATCCAGATACCCTAACCCTTCCTTGGGGGCATATTCAGTTACTGCCCATTGCAGTTAACACAGAGCTGTGGTGGAGCGGGAGTAGTGGGTGATTTAGGAAAAGGAAGGAAAACCAGTGCAGTTACGTACCAGTCACCGTTCACAAGGTATCTCATCCTTCAGCACCACCTTAAGCTGCAGATGTGGAGATGAACAACTTCGTAACTGTGAGTGGCCCCAGTCAGGTAGAAGTGAACAACAAAAATGTAGTTATTGTTCTGGTGTCCTCAGCATTGTTTACTCATTTCTTGTGCTTGCTGACAAGGTCAGTTAAGCACTACTTTTTCCAACAGAAGAGGTAAAGCATGAACTGTGGAAGTGTAATTTTCTCCTCATGTGCCTAAGGCTTGATTTGTGAAAAGCAATTTAACTGTAAATTCTGAGCACAACATCCATAGGTACACAGTCCTTCATCTTTCAGAAAGGCTTATTGGAAGTGCTGCCAATGAAAGCCTCTCTTCTTGGTGGTATATACCCCCAAAACAATTTCCCAAAAGACTGAACGGTGGTAATTTCTGGTTCCCTTGACTGAAATCAAGGCATCTGAGAAGAGAACAACTCCTGTAGCCAGTAATTGTCCTGTTCCTCTAATTCTGTCTTTTTTAGTAGCACATCTGTTCTATTCTCCATAAAACAAAAAGGATTTTATTCCCACAACCTGGTAAAATTTATAGTTGTGAGAAAAACTGTAGTATATTTTACATAAGAGAAGAAATTGCTTATTATCAGCTCCCACAAACTGGAATGTAATTTAATAAAATTCTAGTAATTTTATTAGGTGTAAAGCATATAGATTAAAAGTACATTTAAAGGACAAATAAAGCAAGAAGCAATTTTTTTACAAATTAAGCAATTTTTTACAATCATGCATTTTGATTTCTCTTTAAATGTAAAAGCAGCTCCTGATGGGAAACTCTTCAGGTCTTATCTAAAGATGGAATAACATCAAGCCCCATGCCAATAGTGACAATGTCCTTCAGCTCCCTCAATTGGAACAAGACATCTGCATGGAAGAGAACTCCTGGAAAAAAATAGGAGCAAAAGCTGCCACGGGTCTGCTATCAGTGAAAGTACCAAAAGGAGCAGGGTTGTCAGCTTTTAATTATCCCTGAAAATCTTTATTTTCCAAAGTGCAAATAAAGAAGGGAGTTGCACGGTGACTTTCAGAGGGATGGACGCTCACTGCCTAAGAAAATGCTTTTGGATTTCTGCATATAAGCAACTCTTTTCTCTGATTATCAAGAATGGCTAGTGCTGCTTTGGCAGTCAGCAGGAGGGCCAGTTTTTGGTGTTTTTTTCAGGAAAAGAAATCAAATCAGTATAATGAGCATACACCAGACCTGCAGAATAGATTTTAAAATATAGAGATGCCTTTGGTGTCTTATATTATATAAGCAATTATCAGAAAAAGAAACACGTGTGTGCTGAGGAGTGTTATATTTTTTTCTCCTGAAATGTGTGCTGTTGATCACTGCTACAGGCAAGTTTTACAGGTATCTTGGAAAACAACTGGGTTTGTAATTGTACATCCAAAATAGCGAGTCTCAAAATTGGCAGATCTTTCAGAAAACTCCAATTGGGAACTGATTCTTCCCTTGCCCCACCCTCCTCACCCCCAGATTTGCTTCCATCTAGGGTTGTTCTTAAAGCTACAGTTTTGTCAGTATCAGAGAAGCAGTAATTTCTAGCTCAGGAGTTCTTTAATACACAGCTTCTGCTCACCCTGCCAGTACACTGGGGTTAATTCAGGAGGTTGGAGGCTCAGATATGTCAGGCAGCCAGGAGAGACTGGGTCCCTGTCACAGCCTGACTGCACTGCATTTCAGACTCTGCTCTTCAAGCTTTTCACAGCCATCATCCTATGCTACTTCTTTCAGTGTCCCTGCTGCTGCCTGCACAGTGAAGGCTGCAATGGAAATCTGCCTCTTTACTTCTTCCCAGGCTGCATGCTGATCTGCTTTGCTTTCGATATCAAACATGGCATCATAGATCCCCGGGAAGGACTCTCCAGCATACTTGTTGTGACTGCTTGGAGCAAAGATGACATGTCTGTGGGGAAAGAAGAAAAAAGTGTAGGCATACTAAATAAAAGTAACCATTAACAGGGGGGGGTGTTCACTGTAGGGAACTGTATGTGTGCTACAGAAAGCAGCTATAAATCCTGTGAAGATCAGAACTTACTAATACACAGGATATCTAGCTGGACCCATCTTTAAAAGAACAGGAGGAAGCTGCCCCAAGGACAAAATTGATGGCAAAGGGCACCAGGTAGCCTTCTCCTTGGGACAAGATGATGTATTTGTCTCATTAAGAAAGAAACCATGTTAAATTTTTTTTAAATGGGAGCTTGACAAACCTGTTGAACTAATGTGGTAGTCTGGAACAAGGAATAAAACTGGTTATGGGTGTACAATGAGAAATGGAATAGAAAGCTCAGAATTAACTAAGCAGCTGAATGATGATCAGCAGATCTGGGAAGGGAATGTAAAAAGAGGGAAAAAAATCTATGGGAGACTTTTTGAGAAGAGCTTGAGTTCTTGAAAGAAGAAGTGATCATATTGGAACAGAACTGTGCCAAAGTATCATTTTTATCTGTTGGTGGGTTTTTTTTCTTAAATAATGAATAGTTGCAGATCTGCTTTTAAATTGATTTTGTTCATGTGAAGTAACAAAGCACATTTGTAGCTTGTGAGAGAGTCCTACCAAATCAAAATAAACACAAAAACTACATTAATAAATGCAAGCAAGTTAAAAAAAAAAAATAATAAAATCCAGACAGCTCTAAATGATACCTGACACCCAATAAGAAGAACTGTAGGAAACAACCATTTCATTCTTCCAAAAGCGTGAACGACAGTTTATCCTAGGAGGATGAAAGTGTGATTCTCAATTTTACCTGCCTGAGGGACTTCTGGCTTGGTGTGAAAGCCATCGATCAATGAGTCAGATATATCCAGTCATTAGGAAAAGGGGGATAGTGGGAGTAAGGTGAGGTAGTCACACTGACTACTGTCACAGTGACACTGGAAGCTAGGTTTTTGTCACTAATAAATGCACTAGGGTTCTATAAAGGGTATCGTGGTGCACCAAACATTGTCTTTCTCCAGGCCCATGTGCTGTAGAGAGAAAACTTCAGCAATAACTAGTTAAAGATTTAAGCTAATAGGAGCATCTATAGAAGCAGCCAAAGCTGGCACAGATGGGACTCTGCAGCACACCTCATGGGCCTTTATCTATCCTGTGCTGAAAGGTCTCTCTCCAAACTCTCTCTTCTGGACTTCTCTCTTCACCTGACCCTCACTACACATCTGTTCTCATACTCTTGCCCCTTTTACCTTGCCCTTGTTTCTCCTTTCTTTTCAATACATTTGATTCTCCACTCAGTCCTCACTTTGTACAGATTTAAAAGAGCAAGTGGTAACAGAAGAACACACCTGCGAGTGAAAGTCACAAAGTTATGGTGGTTAATAAAAACGGAATGCCAAACCTAAGAAGAAGAATTAGACAGGTACAGCCAATGAGTTCTTGCTGGGGGTTATAAAGAAATACAGCTATTCACTGGATTGTGCCTAAAACAATCTGTTGAACTGTAATTCCTATACAAGGCCTATATAGCAATTCAACTGACCACTCAGGGAGGGGCTTACCTGCCAAAATACAGTGCCTTAGACAGGCAGGTCAAACAACTTGTCACCTCACCTGTAAAACTTCCTTCCTGGTAAGCCAAGAGGATCAATGAAAGCTCTTTCTATAAACATCAGCTGATCATTCATGATTCGCACTGCGACTGGACTGCAAATAATGGAGACAGATACATTTCACACAATAACGAAACATGACTTCCCAGTTTCATTTAAACACCTTTCCTCTCCTTTGGACAGTAAAAAAGGTGACAAAGACGCTCTATGGTTTGCAGAAAGATGAGGTTTTGCAAATGGAGATATTAAATACACGTAATATTAATGCATTGGGATTTCTGTGTTAGAAAACTCAACTACAGGATTTCACACTATGAAAAATAAAATGGAAGACTTTCTGATAGTATCAGACACTTGCTTAGTATTAAATGGAACTAGACAGATCTCACTTAACAAAAGGGAGGGGAAGGCTGAGATTTTGGTCAAGATGAAGATAGCTAGATTTTGGTGTCCATTCATAAACCAAGTGTTACCCATAAGTCAGGTGTCCAAACTTCTGCTCTGATCTATACATAGTAACATTGTAAGGATGGGATTCAGTGACCTAAACACAACTACCTGGTACCATACTAGGTGCCTAGGAGCATCTGGCCTCCAGTCACTGAACTCTGAGGGCACGTGAGTCCCATAGGGCACTTAGGTTTGTGAGCATCATGCAGATATCTTAGATACTCTGCTCCTTGAGGTGTTCTGCCAGTACAAATGCTGGTATCACCTACAACACTCAAGTGTAGGTGTCTAAATACAGAGCTCAGTCCAACTTTAACTTTCACTGTTACCTGCCTTTCCGTGTATTACAATGATTTTGCTGACAAGCTGATACTAGCAATAAGCTCTACAACTGCCACTATTCATTATGGGAAGCAGAATTCATTTTAGCAGATGTCTCAGAGTTCAAGGGTTCTGTTCTACACTAATCAAAGGAACTCATGTAAAGTCATTGTAAAGAAAAAACTTCCACCCTGGGTACTGAAGGCAGATATACATATATATATAAATATATAAAACTTTTTTTTCAGACTTACTCTTTCTTGTCGACTTGTTCAAGTCTCCTGTGGAATTCAGCAGCAGCCTTTGAGAAGTTCACCACAGCGGAAAAAAGAGGATCTAGAAAAGGAAGGACTTTGTGAACAACTTCAGAGTATTTACTGAGCCCAATATACATTTCAGTTGCCCAGTTAGAGGAAAACTACATTCAGTTTGCTGATACAATTGCATTATTTTTGTTGTCTTTCCATAATTCATTAGTTTCCCTAGTGCAGACTTTAAAAAGCTTAAAAAGCAGTAATAGATAAAGACTTTGTCCAGTGAGGCCATCAATAAAGCGGAAGGCTTGATAAAGCTTCACATGTATACATCTTCCCTCTGCCTGGCAAGGAAAAGGCTGCCTGGCATTGCAAACGGAGAAGTCTGCCTTTTCCTTTTTAACAAAGGGATGCACTGCAGCATTTAGCTGTAAAAAAACCTGACTTACATCGAAAATACCAGCTCTTCCAGCAGGCTGTGGAAAGAGAGCAGGATATCCCTCTTGGGACATGATGTCCTATTCCCCTCACAACAGACGAGTGTGATGCGTATGTTGAATGGTATTAGGTGTGGCATAAAAGACACAACTGCCGTGGAATAGAGTGACAGGCAAGGTAGGTTGAAGCCGCCAAGCCCTGTGCTTGCTCGACACAGGCACTAGAGTTACAGCACAGGGGCTGTGTCTGCCCCAGCCCTGCGTGCCGTGCCTCAGCACTGCTGCTCAGCGGCTCAGACCCCAGGATTTGGCCGACGGTGCCAGACTGTGTGCAGGCAGGCTGACAAGTCAGCCAGTTGCTTTTTCCTGCTCTGTCCCTGACAGTACATCCAAGCCATGTGGAATAACTTAGTCAAAGAAGCAGTAGGCCCTTCTTTTCAGTGAAGCAGCAGGCCTTGCTTTTAATGACAATATCAGCTGTGGTCATTTTCCTGGGAAAAGTATCATCTCTGCAGCTAATTTTTGTAGAATAAGTAACAGGTAGGTGTTAGGAGGAGAACAACTTCGAAACTTAACAACACTCAACTCAATTACAAAGAAGGAAGGTTTAAAACTTGTACATTTTTCCCACAAATTTCAGAAAAGTTTAGATAAATCAGAGCATCCTCTCTTTGGTCGTACAGGAATATGGGGCATAAGATTAGGTCATCTCCTATATCCTACGCTGGCAACTATGGCCCTTCACTGTTTATAAATGTTTCACAGTCTTTTAGTGTGATAGGCTTTCTGTAGTTAGATTTACCACACTATTTAGTGTGATAGGCTTTTCGTTCCCAGGCCTCCTATTGAAAGCTGTTCTGCAGTCTCATTTGCTCTTCTATTTCTAGCAAACATGTATTCATCACCAGCCTACACTTGCTTGTTCTTGTATTAATAGTTTTGTTTAGTTTACATAATTAGAGGCACAGATTTTATGTATGCAAGCTGTACATGGACTGCAGTATAGACAGACCCATGACAACTTGTCCACAGCTGTGGCAATAGTTATAAATTTCCCAGAGGACAGAGCTCTGCCATGCTGACACCACGGCTATATCATGGCAACAGACTATATTTCAGAAGCAGGAGGAGGGAATTTATGAGGAAAAAAAAGAAAGATCATCTGAAAATATGTAAGAGAATTTGTGTTCATCTCCACTAGATATTCAATGTTGTCAATGTTGGTTATTTTAGAAAATACCAATTTTATTTTTTTTTTTTTCCCCCTGCAAACCTTAGTTCCTGATAGCATATGACTACAAGTATGTATTTTATGAAAAAAGGTTTACAGCCTTCATTGTTGCAGAGGAATAGCTGAAACGTGAATCCAAGGGCAGATAAAAACCTTAAGCTATTATTCTGAAGGACAATTACGTGTTTTATTCAGGCTTAATGAATGGTTTTCTGACATTCAGTGTCATCAATAGGCAATTCTATGAAAATATTGAGTGAAATTAATTTTAATTCTCTCAGTATTGCCTGTAACTTTTAATGTACTCTGGTGCACTAGAATAAATAAAAATTAGAAATTGTAGTTCTATTCAAGAAATCATTTAAAACTGATCAGGCATCAGAGAAGAGCCATGAAAATAATGAAGAGACTGAAAAACATGCCTTGTAAAAAAAATGGTCTAAATGATACTTCTATAAAGTTATTAAGGAGAGAATTAAGTGATATTTTGAGGAACAAAAAGGTTAAAAAAAGATCGTTTATAGAATCTAGGAAGAAAAACAGGTGAATTGGTCAGAATATAGCTTGGGCAACTTCTAATCTGAAATGAGAAACTCAAGCAATGAAAATAAATGATTTAACAGAAATTTTGGTAAATGTTCTACACTGCAAAAAGAAATTCCAGATTTGATGTTTGCTTACAAAAAATGCTTCAGTAAACACAGGAACATATTGAAATAAATCCTTCTGTTATGTAAAATCTCAGATCAGATGATCCATCACACAAGGCTTCCTCTGTCTTGAGTGGCCTTTTTACAAAAAAAGGGTGTCTTTTCAGAATAGTCAAGAATTTTTCACCTAATCCATTCCATGAAGTTTTAAATGTCATTTTTAATCTTCCCCAAATGAGGATTCAAGTTGAGTTACTTCTAATGTTTCACTGGATCTACAAAAAGCTATGTTATGTCTCTAAACCATGGGTCCATCAGATAGCAAGTGATTAGGACTGGCTGAAAATGCTCCATGGTACAGAAACACAAGAGATGAATGAGGCAAGAATTAAAAAAGAAGAGAGAGGGGAAAAATTACTGTGGAAACTATCATAGCCTGGGATCCAGAGCACTCTGCTGCTTCAGACCTGTTTTATACGTTTCATTGCAATGTGTTCAGGTGCTCAACAAATGGATGTATTTGTGCAGAAGAGCTAGAGAAATGCTTCTGTGGCCTAAAAGTGGTACTCAGGCCCTGAGACAGATGATAAGCAAGTTTCCCAGGGTAAGATGTCTTTGGCTGAGGAGGAATGAGCACCTGTGTGTCTCAAGTTCCAGGCAGTTGCCATAAACATTTAACTTGGCTTCATTTTTAAGCAAGAAAGTAAGAAGCAGACTGATATATCTGTTCTGAGTTTGAGGTCCGTGACTGCTCATGAGCACTGTCATAATACCCATAATTAATAATATGCATAAAAATTGTTATAACCCTTTTATCTAGACGACAATGTGTTAAATCTGTGTTATGTTTAGAAAAAAAATAGAGGCTTTTTATTATGATGGCAGAATTGAAACAGGAAAGTAAGGAATTCCGTTTTGGAGCTATAACAGATATAACATGTCCCTGCAGGATTCTAATTAATGCACTTAAGAGATAGTCTTGTGGCTATTACTCACCGAAGGATACTTTGTGAGGTTTCAGCTGTTCTTCATGTTTCTTGGCCAATTTATAAATTCTATTGCTATATCCTTTTAAGGCTTCTCCATAATCTCTACAGTCAAATGGAATGACCTGGGAATCTGCCAGTTCATAAACCAATTTGCCTCGTAACTGGGCAATTGTTAGCTGTTTCTTGAAGGTAGGGTCATAAAATTTTTCCACTAGCTCAAAGGTCTCATACACAGTGTGATAAACAGGATAATTGCTGAATTTGTCTGTTTTCTGAAAAAGAGCAAGCAAATTTGTCAACGTCCTGTCTAATTGCAGTTAAGGGATGCACTGATCACTTAATGACTGAGATGTTTTGCACAGTTTCCAAATCAAAAAAGCTCTTTGCTACAAAATACAATTTACTCCCCTTCCATTTCTGTGTGCTAATTTTAAGAAACTAAAACAACCTGAATCCATGGACTGTTGCACAAGATTAAGTGAGCAGGCTTCCTTGTCTCTAATTACACAGACCTGCCTTCAGTTCCATTGTACAGAGGTTGCCTTCACTAGAAGTGAAAACAGATTGGGGTTTTGGATAGAAGTCCTCGATCACGGTCCCCTTTCATCTTGTGTAGTTATTTCTGAGCACAGTCAAGGAAGATTTGTATATTACTGGCCCTACTAATAGTATAGTGGAATGAAATATTCACCTCCAATCAGATTCTATAAATACATTCCTGTGAACTTGAGGGCTTAGAGAATATCACACTACTGCAACATGTTTTATTCTACAAACGTTTAGGTTTCTTGCTTAATTAAGAAATGGCACTGATATACAAGCCAGTCAAAGATTCTTTGAAGCTTTTTTATTAATCATTAATAAATATTTTTAAAAGATGACTACTCAGCACTATCAAACTAACTTCTTCAAGGAATCTGGAAGACTTACCCTGTTCTTGGTATAACGGACTCTGCCTGACACGATTCCCAGTCGCTGAAAGTAAGCTTCAAAATCACTGCCTGATCCTAGTTTGTTTATCCTGCATGTAGGAAAGAAAACATCTTAGTGAGAGCACTTATTGTATAATATCGTAGTAATTTATGAAAAATGCAAAATTTTCAAAGAAATGGAGGAGATTTCCTCTGGAGGACATATCAGGGACACTAGCAAAATCAGAAACTAGATGAGTGGCAAGCTTAATTACTCTAACATTTTATTTCACCACACTAATTCAGTACCCAATATTTCTAGGAAGATCTTTTAAAGGTAACAATCCAGATTATGGCACTGACCACATTTTTAAAAAGAGTACACATGATGCACAAGAGCCATAAAATTGTATCAGACATGTCTCTGCAATATTAAAACATTAATCATCTATTTCCAAACTAATATGAATTGGGCAGCGATATATGTAAAGACAGATGTGTTTATATACTTAACATATTCCATAGTAGAATCAAAGACTGATAAATAATTTCCACTGCGGAAGACACAATTAGCTTTTGTTACTTACAAGTAAATATTGCCATCTGCTGGGTTGATGTGGTAAGACAGAGGAAAAGAAGATAACAAAAGCACGTAGTAGCCTAGGTACTTTCAAATATTTATTTAAGTTTTATATTAAGTTTTAGGTTTATATGTCTAGCCTGGTGAATAATTGGTGTTTCTCAGCTAAAACCCAAAAAAGTTACTTCTGTTCCAGCTAAAGTCCTTCTGTTGGCATAAATTTCTACAAGGAACTATTTTTATCAACTGAGAAAGATCAGCTCTAGTAGCTTTTTCAGAAAGGAGAAGTCAGTGAGTCTAATGAATCTAAAACCTCATCTTACTAGGGCCTGCAAGATAGAGTGCAGAGCTTGTTGATCAAATCACACAAAGGGGCAGTTTTATTTACCTTACATGAGTAATGCCACATTTGAGATGTAATAAGATTTAGCCCTGTGAGTCACAGGTTCAAAGAGAGTTTTGGAGTTTTAATACCTTCAAATATGAAGCTTTCATACCCTCAGATATTGATTTGTAATGTATTACATTTACATCCATTGTATAAACAAAGAATAAGTATCACGAGCTTTTTAATTGCCGCTCTAGGCAGTTTCTTTCAACTGAGCATTTGCTTGTCCTGACAGTTTTGATATTATCTCATCTAAGTAGGGTGACTAAACTATATTTTGAACTCTTTCCCTGCTCTGCTCTTTTTTGATTGCTTTCCAAATTGCTTTTCTGCTAATAAAAGGCCTTTAAAAATTCTGAGGGTTCATTTTACAGCAGGCATAGATGTCAACATCATTTAAAAAACCTCATAAAATTTTATTTTACTTTTAAAGATATTGCTAGAAACTCACCTTGTATTAAAAGGTTTTGTACTGCTGTCATCAATAGCACATCTTGAAAACTTCTGGAGAGTAGCCAGTAGATAAAACAGATTAACAACTTACCTGGGATAGCTATTATTTTCAGTCGCAGGGTCTTTCTCAAGCCAGCTGTCATAGAGAGACTTATTTTCATAACCCTCATCAGGGCTTAAAATCTGGAGAGGAAAATATAACCTCATTGGAAGTACCACTAACTCAATTCATTATCAAAGGAGACCCTTATGGCTATCTGCATCATTCTTAATCAACAGCATTGCTGCATGCAGGGAAGCACACATACACTTTTTGCATTTGTTACATACATTTATGGATCCCAACCATGAAAAGCATCTCACAGTCACTTGGAACCAACCACAGACAGTGCAGAAGAGCAGGATAAAAGCTCAAGGACACTGGCTGGAGCTCATCTACTTCTGGGGGAAGTGGATCCTGGGGATTTCTAGGACTTCTTACTGTAGTACTTATAGCGCTGTGTATGTACACACACAACAGTATATACAATACTGTGGAGTTCTTCCAGCAGCCAGGATGCCCCAGCTGCTTTCCTTTGAGCAGGCAAGGGGAGATGATAGCCCTAACCCTGTGGATGTTTGCCCCACACAGCAAAAATATTATATCAACAGTGTCTGCCTGAAACTTCACTGCTTTTTGTATAGAAAGAGTACAAAATAATTGTGCTAGAAGGGTCAAAACCAGTCATTAACTATATTGTAACAGTACCAAGGGGTCTCAAGATTCTGCCTCTCATCTCTATTTACATTTTAACAATCTTTAATAGACATGGCTCTTCAAATATAAGATTGGTTATGACGTGGAGAGGATTGGGATCTTTTTTTTTTTTTTCCAAAATACGAAGCATAAATGTTCATGGCTAGATACATGGTCCCACACTACTGGTGAGACTTAAATTTCACACTGAAAAATATACAGACTCCAAATTGAAAATCCAAAGAGTTCTGACCTCGGAGATTATGTCAGCAGCTAGCAGAAAAATAACAACTTTGTGAAGTAACTGCTTGGCTGCTGCCATTTTCAGGGCACTTTGGTCAAGTTCTAGGGCTCATTTGAAAATGGCACATTAATAAGAGCAAGATGAACTCTGACATATGGGAGTAAAAGTACTCTGTGCTTTGGCAGAGATGCTATTCTGGCAGCTCTGGTAATGCAAAAGCCATTGGCCAGCTTTTTCATACGACACTGAGATCCTAGTAGTAAAACATTATTTGCCCTACTTAGATCCAAATTGTGAATGAGCATAAGCTTACTGCTACCTCAGGGGAAGATGCAGAGTTCATTAAGTATAAATACGAAGTAAGAAGTGATGATCAGAAAAGGGGAATTGGAGTTAAACTATTGCAGACACTGACTGGTAGTGACCAATTGTCTAAAGCCTGGCAGCAGAGCAGGGCTAAAAAAGACTGTCAACAGCTAACTGTCCCATCTGTATGCTGACAACCATACTTAAATGCAGAACTCTTGAAAGATGACATTTCATGTGTTCACTGCATTTTTCTGGTGAGAAGTGGCTCACTAAAAAACAGGAAGAACTAAAAGATCTTGGGATGTTGGATAGTTGGATGTTGGACTCTTTTAATGTTAAAAGAAAAAACTTTCTTTTGGACATGCATAATCACCCACACCTGCACTTATGTTCGTCCATGTACTGGGCTTCCTGAATGAAATTCAATCCCATACAAAAGCCTAATGCAAAGCATAGGGAACATTATGGTGCTGTGGCTGTTTCCAAGAATTCACTAGGACTCTGTACTGGGTCTGGCAGAGCCAGAACTGGTTTTCCCCTATGGCAGCCCTCACGGTGCTGTTTTATGTCGGGAGCTGCAGGGTGTTGGTAGCACCCTGGGGCTGTGGCTGCTGCTGAGTGGTTCTTACACAGCACCAAGGCTCTTCCCAACATTTCCCCAGTGGGACGGGGTGGGCGAGATCTTGGGAGGGGACACAGCCAGGACAGCTGACCCCAACTGACCAAAGGGATATTCCAGACCACATGACGTCTGCTCAGTATAAAGCTGGGAGAAAGGAGGAAGGGGGTCTGGGTGGGGGTGTCAACCTTGGTCCTCCGAGGCAAACACTATGCATATGGGAGCCCTGATTCCTGGGAAGGCCCGACAGCGCCTGTCTATGGGAAGGAGAGAATAAATCTGTTTTCTTTTTTTTTTTTTTCTTCCATGCATGGATGCTTGCTTTGCTTTGCTTCTATTAAAACTGCTTTTGTTTTACCCACAAGGGTGGTGGTTTTGGTTTTGGGTTTTTTTTTCCTATCTTATTTTCTTTCCCCTCTTAGCCTTGTTGAGAAAAAAAGGGGAAGGAGGGGGGAAGTGATAGAGTGACTTGGTGGGTACCTGGCATTTAGCCAGGGTCAAACCACCGCAGACTCCTAAGGTGCACAGGACTTCTCATTATTCCTATTCACAAAGCTAATAACCAGGATATTCAAAGACTTAATGGGCTGAGACTTTGATGTGTATATTTAGCTTCCCATTGTCATCCAAAAACAAATGCACTGAAGTTGAAATAGCAAAACTAAGAAAGTAATCACTCTGCCTTGGTTCTTCTAGCCCTTACAGAAATCAGAGGGGCATGGTTTTGATTAATGGAAAAGACGCAGCTGATTAGCAAAGGTACAGACTGTAGTCTTTGGTTACCTTTATAAGAGGATACCTAAATGCAAATGAAGGAAAAAAAAAAATCAAACAGATCCCTCTGCAAAACCGAGCTTCCCTCTTCTAGCTGTTGCTTTAGTTTCTCCCCCTCTTTTTCTAATCCAATTCACTGAATTTTTAGGGACCTGGAGAATAAAGATGTTTGAAGCCTTTTTATTCTGTGATGCTAGAAGCAGTGAGCCAAGTAAAAGAGATGCCAATTTTCTGTAGGGTCTATCAGTCACCTGTATATATGTTTCTATGCCAACAAAAATGGTGTCCTAGCTTGAAGTGGTCCTTCAGCACACATCCTTTGGTATCCCTGACTTCTCTCCAAGAGTCCATCAAAACATCCGTTTCCTTGGGAAAATTCCAACAATCTCTATGAATGATCTTACAGAAAAGTTCAGTAAGTAGAGAAAGGTTTCACAGCCTGTGATTTATGGATCACCGGAGGTCACTGGTGGCACATCAATATCGGTAAATGAAAGATGGTTCAGACATGAAAACTAGCATGTTGAACCACTGTAAAAATTGAACTGTGATTTTATTTTTCAGAAAGATGAGAAGCATTTCCAGGTTTAGCAGTAAAAAAAAAAGAGGAAAACTTTCCTCTAGACAAATATGGCAAGGAATGTCTCAAATTTATTTAGTGAAACAGTGAAAAAAAAAAATGAGTAAAAAGAAACAAGGGATTGCAGATGAGATTCTTTGGCCAGAGACAATATGATAAAACTGGGGAAAACACTTTTTGACTGTGTACAGAAAGCAGAGAACACTAGAGAATCAAAATGTTGTTGCAGAATCCTGCTCTGTGAAACAACAGAAAATAAAAAGCGGTTGTGGGTTTTCTCTATAGCAGGCTAATAAGAAAAAAAGAAATCTAAGATGTTCCAACAGTGGCTTTAAGGAGCTCAAGAAATAGTCAGACTTTTCACTAGCAACCCTTTACCATAAAATAATCCCCTTTTTAAATGGAGCTATGAAGAATATAGATTAATATAATGTACTTCCAGGAGCTTATTAGCAGGAAAACATCATGGAATTATGGGCTAGTTGTCAGGTTTTTCTGTTGTTTATATTATGCTTCTACTGTTAAAAGCTTAAATAACACTGAATAGGAAAATTTACAAAAAAGTCGGTCTCACGTACTTCGTATGGTATTTTAATAGAAGTTTTCTACTCCAACTCAGCAATAGCTGAATAGTTGACTTAAGATCAAGACTGAGGTACTATTTTTAGCCCAGAAGCATTTTTTCACTTTATCTTTTTCAGAAAAACATATTCCTGGGTAAGTGGCTTGCTGCAGAGAGAAAATAAATTATTTTATCCAAGATCTGCTGCACTAGGGACATGGAAATTTTTATATGTGAAACAGAATGTTCTCCACTGTTCAAAGTGTCACAGCTAGTGTTTGAACAAGAACAGCTTCTTCCCCCACGAGGGGAAGAAGAGGGTAAGAAGAGGGGAAGAAGAGGGGAAGAAGAGGGGAAGAAGAGGGGAAGAAGAGGG